TGTTGGTGTTGGTGTTGGTGTTGGTGTTGGTGTTGGTGTTGGTGTTTGTTTTGGTGTTGGTGTTGGTGTTGGTGTTGGTGTTGGTGTTGGTGTTGGTGTTGGTGTTGGTGTTGGTGTTGGTGTTGGTGTTGGTGTTGGTGTTGGTGTTGGTGTTGGTGTTGTTGTTGTTGTTGTTGTTGTTGTTGTTGTTGTTGTTGTTGTTGTTGGTGTTGCTGTTGCTGTAGCTGTTGCCGTTGCCGTTGCTGTTGCTGTTGCTGTTGCCTGTGCTGGTGCCTGTTGTTGTTGTTGGTTCGTTGCTGTTGTCGTGTGTCGTTGGTCGTTGTCGTTGTCGTTGTTGTTGCCCGTTGCCGTTTTGCCGTTGTTGCCCTTTGCCGTTTGCCGCGCCGCCGTTGCCGTTTGCCGATGCCGTATTGCCCGTTGTTGTTGTTCTTGTTGTTGTTGTTGTTGCTGTTGCTGTTGCTGTTGCTGTTGCTTGTCTTGTTGCTGCTGCTGCCCTGCTGTAGCTGTTGTTGTTGCTGTTGCTGTTGCTGTTGCTGTTTGTGTGCTGCTGTTGCTGTTGCCTGTTGTTGTTGCTGCTGCTGTTGTTGTGTCTCTGTGCTGCTGTGTTTGTTTGCCGTTGCCGTTGCCGTTGCCGTTGCCGTTGCCGTTGCCGTTGCCGTTGCCGTTGCCGTTGCCGTTGCCGTTGCCGTTGCCGTTGCCGTTGCCGTTGCCGCCGTTGTTGTTGTTGTTGTTGTTGTTGTTGTTGTTGTGATTGTGATTGTGATTGTGATTGTGGTTGTGATTGTGATTGTGGCTGTGGTTGCGGTTGTCGTTGTTGGTGTTGTTGGTGTTGTTGCTGCTGCTGCTGTTGCTGTTGTTGTTGCTGTTGCTGGTGCTGCTGTTGCAGCAGTTGATGTTGTTGATGTCGTTGTTGTGGTTGTTGTGGTTGTTGTTGTTGTTGTTGTTGTTGTTGTTGTTGTTGTTGTTGTTGTTGGTTGCTGTTGCTGTTGCTGTTGCTGTTGCTGTTGCTGTTGCTGCTGCTGTTGCTGTTGCGGTTGCGGTTGCGGTTGCGGTTGCGGTTGCGGTTGCGGTTGTGGTTGTGGATGTGGTTGTGGTTGTGGTTGTTGTTGTAGTTGTAGTTGTAGTTGTTGTTGCTATTTTTTGCGGGGGCAGAAGACTCTGAGAGTTGTCGCTGAGCGCCTTCGGTGAAATTCACCCGCTTCGTCGCCCAGCCCTTCTGCTGTGCGTAGTTGCAGTACATGCGCCTTGCGTGCCCATTTCACTGAGCACCAGAGCATGCAAATACTAAGCCAACTCCTGATCTAAGGGCGGAACTCCAACATGCAAACCCAATCACAGGCTTCATCACCTCCAGCCCCCGCGTAGATACTGATCCTGGGCGTAGCAAGCTCCAAATTGCGGCGGAGAATGCTCTAAGTCAAGTCCAAGTGGCTGACAATGTTGGAAGTCATAGCGGCCCCCCATCATCATCTGGACCTTCACACCAAAACACGCCACCCAAAAAAGCTTGGACTCAGGGGGAGGACAACCTAAAGTGCAAACCCTGAGTTCAACTCACTTTCCATCAAGCATTCTAGTTAGTCGTGGATGCTGTCTTGTTGCCGTTGGTTGTTGGTCCATTCCATTTGATTTCTGTAGTAAATCTGGTTTGCATTTCTGCATTGGCTTCGTCTTGATGCTGCTTGAGAAGTGACGGCTGCATGTTGGTTGGGTTTGACATTGACCCCGTTTTGTTTGATTCCGTTTTGTTTGATGTCGGTATTGGCTTCGTGCTTTGGAATTGGTCTGCGAAAAGGGGTACAACCTTGTCTCAAGAGCTCTCAAACAAATCGTCCTAAGGAGGTCCTCTGCGGCCCCTTGGAAATTGGTTGGCGCCCTGGGAGGGCAGGGGATCATCTGCGCACACAAATCTGGATCATCTGTACACACAGGCTTTCCTCACTTATTGCGCCATGCACTCTGGATCATCTGCGCACACAAGGTTTCTGTCATCTGGCTCATCTGTACACACACACACACTTTTGGCAGGGTGGGGGGGTGGGGGGGGGGGATTGGTAAGCACACCCGCTCAAGTGCGCCCGCTCAGCACTGTGGGGGGGTGGGGGTGGTGGGCGGGAGGGGGGAATGGTAAGCACACCCGCTCAAGTGCACCCGCTCAGCGCTGTTTCCACGCATGCGGAAGAGTAGCCCGAAGGGGTGGGGGGTGGGTGGGGAGGCGGGGGAATGGTAAGCACATGCCTGCCACCTAATAAGCATACCCGCTCACGTGCAACAGATGGGGTGCGGTATTGGGGAAGGGTGGGGTGGGGGTGGGGGCTGGGGCGGGGCGGGGTGGGGCACACCCGCTCACGCGCGTCCGCCTAGCGCTGCATCCACGCTTACCACCTAATAAGCACACCCGCTCACGCGCGCCCGCCCAGCGCTGCACGCATGCCTGCCACCTGATAAGCACGCCCACTCACGTGCAACACATGCCTGCCGCCTTAATGAGCGCCTGCTCAGGGTGGGCTGGGCTGGGGTCAGGCTTTGGGGAGGTTGGGGTGGGGTGGGGCACACCCGCTCACACACGCCCGCCCAGCACTGCGCACATGCCTGCCACCTAGCAAGCGCACCCGCTCACGCGTAACAGATGGGGTGGGGTATTGGGGAGGGGGGGTGGGGTGGGGGTGGGGGTGGGGGTGGGGGTTGGGTGAAAGCGAAGCCGGGCGAAAGTCTGTCCCCCTGATTTACACACGAAGTGCAAGAGACTTGTCAAACCTTTAATGCATATACACCACATTCTTTACCCCGAGCAAAATTGAGAGCGGCTGACAGAGGTAAACCGCACAGGAGACAACGGAACACAACATTTCCTATGTTCATACGACAGAAAGGCAAGGAAACATGCAGCTGTCAACGCCCCTGTCCCTTCTTGTGCATAGCAGTAAGCACTGCGTGTACAAACGATCCGGGGCAAAAAAGGCCCGCGTGCAGAGACGATCCGGTCCCGCGTGTACAGACGATCCGAATTCCGCGTGTACAGACGATGCACTGACCCCCTGGGACCTCATGTCATTCTTGCAGGGAGCCTTCAGGCCGATTGGCTGCGTGGTCGATTGTGTAGCTGAGTGTCAGTTAAGCATTGTTTTAGCATATAACGCATTGTTTTTGCTTGGCAACAGCGGCATGTTACTTGCTGTCCCCGGAATATGTTGCTGTAGTGACTACCCTTGATGACTTGGAAAGCACATTGTCTGTACGTTGGGTCTGCGTATGACTTCTCACCGACGGCCTAGACGTTGGCAAGGTGGACATGAAGCAAATGTGACACGGTGTCTATCTGAGTAGCGCCAAAGATATTGACGACGCGGAATGAGTGGGCAAACGCAATCCACCTTGCTTCAGCAATACGACTACACGCGAATCCCGATTCGAGTTATGAAAGGCCATTCACAACAAGAGACGCCTGACACTCACCTGGCTAAGCGCTGGCAGGTACAACAGCAACAACATGTTTCATTCTTGCTACAGGGATCAGTGATCAGGGCTGTGATTTTGACCTGCTTTGTGTTGTGCTAGCTTGGGTGTGTCATTTGTCCTTGCGTTCCTGTTGCTATTGGGCACGCTGAGGTGTAGACATTTGTATGCATATTTTGTGTTGGCATCCTGCTGTCTTATTGGACTCGTTTGACTAAATGCTGAGTTTTAGTTGCGAGCGTTTTAATGCACATGTACACAAGTATGTATCTCCACCTACCACTTTGGAGGGAGGCCCATTCAATCTCCATCACCAATTATTGCGGGCAAAATAGGGATTTAAACCGCAAAAGTCTGGGAAACAAACGTCTCATACACAAACCTGCCTCACGCCTCGCCCACTCTTGCAAAAACACTCGCCGGGCTTGAATACTTCAGACTCAACAAAAGTGGGCTTGGACAAAAAGCACTGTCCACTTTAAGCATCTTGATCTTCTCAACATGACATTGCATCCTCACATCGACTGAAATCTTGTTCTCGACACCTCGGCTTCTGAGATCTCCTTTTCCAGCTTCTGCAAGGAGGCTGCCGCCTGCAGATCGACACATGGGATGTACAAAAATGATTTGATACATATCATAAGATGATATTGACAGACCAAATGAACAAATATGGCCTTTTTCCTCAAGTAGCACTGTCAGAGAAAGCATTGCAAAGCAATGTCCACCTCCTCTCGCAGCATGCTGGACTCGTCCAGGTCGCCCGCGGCTTCAGCATCTTGCGCTAGCCTCGCTGCATCTGGAAAAAACGGGACGCTCCAATAGCTTTCACCTCAGTTGCTTTCTGCTCCCCTGCTAAAAGTTTAACTTTTAGTGGTTTAATGGAAAACCCATTAGTTGGCAAAAAGTTAAAGTCCTAACATCCAAGCAAAATGAACCTCTGTTTCAACGGGCAACGCAGGACATTGTCCAACACTCCCTCTCCCATCCCTGCTCAGAAGCGTGCCTTGAATGGGTTTGTGATAGGTTGCGTCTATTTGGGAGAAGTCAAGGACGCGAACAAAGGCCCTCCGAGAAAAACACACTTGCACACAACACAACTTGATGCTCCAGCTAGCATCTGAGACCATGACTCCAGGGCGGTCTGTGCCTGTCACAGGCTGCATTTGGTGAACAGCACACCAAACAAGCAAATTACTCTGGAACCACCCCGGCTTTTGCTCTGCCTATATGTGTGTGGGTCAAAATTAAACCACCAGGGGACCACAGGTTTTAGTCCTTGGTTCCATTTACCAGGGTTCCATTTTGGGTACCTATTTTGGACCAGCCATATAGTTGAATCTTGGAATTTGCCGTTCCAGAGAAGGTGTGACCCTGCAACACCTAGCAACCCCCAACTTGACAGCGAAACCAATCTGTTTCCTCAGGAACCCGCCTCTTCGAAGGTCGCCAGGTACGCCCCAGCGCGCTTTTCCACAGCCTCCAAACCTGCGAGAGGACTGACCTTTGGTTCAAGCCGCCAAGGGCAAGGGGCCAGCAGAAAAAGCCACGCTGGCCTTCGGCACGAGAGCTCGACATGGTACATGTCTCCATCACCCTACCACAGGGAAACCTCCCAACAACGAGCCTTGATCCAGGCAACTTTCTTGGAGTGGAACAAAACACGCCGATGTTGAGACTCGACCCCGGCTCAACTCCAATGAGCATGTCGATGTTTTTCTCGAGCTCCCCACGCGCCAGCTCGGCCATGACTGACTGCCTCACAGAATCTCAAGTGGCTCAAGTGGCAAATCGGCGACACTCTGTGCAGAGCACCGGGTACCTTTTTGGTTCTGTTTCAACCGGAAACCAACGGCAAACCCATCTGCTCGGGGATATTTACGGAGCCAAACCTCGGCGTGAGTGCGTGCCGAGCGGCGCATGTGCGGTGTCCTCCCATAGCTCTGGCTTCTCAGACTCGGCGCGGATGCTTTTGGCTTTGGCCTGACAGTTGAGTCTGCGTGCTTCCCACCTTTCTCGTGACTCGCCTCTGGTGCTTGGTCCAAACCTTTTTGGTTGTTTTGTTGCGTGAGTTCTGGGCGCGTCAAAATGAGAAGCTTCCAGTTGCTCAGCCCTTGTCGACAGCTGCAATTTGCCGTAGGCGAAATGCGCAACAAATCATGCGGGTGCGCCTATCCTTAGGGAACCCCCTTTTGAAATGGTTGGTTTCCTTTTGGCTGCCCTTTGAAACCAGCCAATAAGGGTACCCGGCCATGGGTCAACATCCAAATCGTACCCCCAGTGAACATCCCAATCCCCACTAAAATAGGAAGCCTAAAATGGGTGGCGAATGCACCTAGCCCAAAATCCCCAAAATGGTACCAGTACCATTGGTTTTGACCACCACAGCCCAAGAAAGACCACCCCGCCCATTCAGAGCAAGGACCGGCCCAGAACTCACTCCGGCGCCTCAAACTCCGAAGTGCCGAAACCTGCGGCTCCATGCGCTTGAACTCAAACCCACTGATTCTTTCGGGTTTTGCTTTTTGTTTGGGTACCCCCTTGTTGGATGGTTTGAAAAGGAAGCCGAAAGGAAAACCACGATTTTCTTTGGGGGGGGGGGGCCAAAAAGAAGACACACCAATATGCATATTCAGATCCCAATATAAACCTCCAGCCTTTCATTGACCTGGCCTTGGGGTATCATGTTTTTTCTCTGAGTTGTGCTACTATCGGCCCCGCGTACCCGTACCATCCGTACCGATAAAGCGTTTGGTCAGCGCAACTCAGGTCGGCCTGAACGTGCCAGCACAACTTCGCTCCGCCTGGCGGGACTCCGTCCCCATTGGAAGCGGCGAGTCTCTCATTGGAACTCAGGTACCGCTGGAAAACATGACTCCGCTCAACCCCAAACTTGCGATTGTCCAGGTGACAAACCCATCATAGAGTGGGGCTTCATTTACTCGCAACCCGCCCTCCGCGGGCCTCTCAAGATCCGAGAGGTCTTGCTTCAGCTTCCACCTGGCAAACATGAACTGCAAGGCGCATACCGTGCAATCCGCGCTGAGTGACATTCTTCGAAAAAAGCTTCAATGCGCTTGTTGGTGGCACGTTCCGAACTGTACAGCATCCATGTCATGCTATTGATTGATAAGTTTGTTCCTGAACCAGGCTGACTCGATCCACCAGCATGACTGAACATAAGCTACGTGCTGTCTCGCTTGCATGTGCAAAATATATAATTTTAATATATAGGGTCCCCAAAAATGTTAGGCTTAGCTGCCAGCTCTCTGTTGAGTGCGCGGCCTGCGAGTAAAGCTTGCAACCCAAAAGATTGAGTCACGTATATCAGCTGCGAGATCTTCAGTTGGGCCCAACTCGGTCAAGCAGTCACTAACCTCGAATCAGTCGTTTGTTGCAAGCGTGCCAGTGCAGCTGTGTTGGCCCCTCTTCGACTTTTGTGGCCCGACGTGCTGCCCGAGATCTCCTGCTCAAGTGCGGGCAGGTGGCTAGGGGAAATGGGAGCTCAAAGGAACGCTTGGCAACATGTCTTTGAGGCATCCTATTCCCTAAGCGAACCTTGGTATCTTGTGATCTTTGAGCCCTTGCCTCGCCCCTTAAATCGAGAAGGCACTTGGACCCCAGCCTGTGGCAGGCAAATCAGATGCCCAGCCAAACCCAGGCTTACTCACGGCGCATGGCTCAACCTCCAAACCGCATTTTCCCTCAACCCCTCAACCCCTCAACCCCAGAGCTGACCAAGGATGCAGACCATGGGCCATGCTGCGAGGTTTGGTGTTCATTTCCCTGACGCAAGAAGGGCACCCTCAAAAGCCGCAGCCATTTGGCTATGGGTCAAAATCGCGTACCTCAGTGTACATCCCAATCCCCACTGAAATAGACTAAACTGGGTAGTGCACCTATCCCAAAATTGTACCAATGGTTTTGAACCACAGCCAGGTGGCATGAGGCAAAGGTCAAGAGGATCAAAGGCCAAAACCGAGCCGAAAAAAAGCTGTAAGTCCAGCTCGAAACTGGGAATCCAAGACGTGCAAATGGATGTTCATCCACCCCAAAATGGAGCCAGAGCTTATGCCCCATGGCGATTTGATCACAGGCCCCAGGCGCTTCAGGCTTCGCCATAAGCCCAGGCATGGCACCAGCAGCTGCGCGCGCCGCCAGCGCCCAGTGGGCTGATCTGTCGAAACCGCGAAAGATGGCCCCCCCGTTGTGGGAGGCGTGCCGTGTTCAAGGTCCCCGTTTTTGCGGGGAACCTGATTTTCGGAAACAAGCCTAGTTGGAAGGTTCCCTGTTGCGTGACGTGAAAAGCGTTAGGAAACCGAAGCCTGGGAGGGAGAAGCTGCCGGAACAAGCCTTTCCAATCCGTTTCCGTGAGCCTCTATGTAATGGGATCTCTGGACATCAAGTTCCAACATCCAGAGAAAATGTTATCTTCCTCAACCTGGATCAAGGCCAGTCGCCTTTCTTGAAACCACCGCCTCAAAACGAGGGTGGACTTGCCTTGGGCACTTCCCCTTCAAAACACTGACGCGGCCCGTCTCTGGCTTTCGCTGTGGAGATCCCAGTAGCAACCGTTTGAGGCACACAAGACTCGGCAAAGCAACAGGGGGTTTTGCCCCCCACTTCTGCGTAAAGGGCAAATGGCGTGAGACAGGTCTGACTGATCAGGTCTCAACGTGCTGCTAAAGGCTGACAGACCCAGGTACAAGCGGGCGTCGTAAGTCACCCCACGTCGCGTTAAGTCACCCCAGCCATCCCCAGCCGCTTGGAGCTACGCATATCCGTTTAGTCACCCCATGCGTTTTAAGTCACCCCATTTCTTGCAAAACACAATGGGCACAGAACTGGAAGGGCTATGTTGCCAACCCCAAGAATTCACCGCACACTGCGCGCACATGCTCAAAACTCACTGGTTTGGGTTCATGTTGAATGCTTTTCCCGGGCAAAACCCTATTGGGCACAGTGTTTTCTGTTGGCTCCCCCAAGGCCAAAGTGTTCAACTGCATTCCTTTTGCTAAGCCAAGCCAGGGCTAGTAAAAAACAACCGGTTCCGGGCCGGAACACCCGACAAAAGGGCTGCCGCCGCGAGTGCCGCGCGACTCTGCGCGAGTGCCGCGCGAGTGCCGGGTGAGCCGTGCCCTCATCCCAATGAAGATTGCTTCCGCTTGTGGCACAACTTAAGTGCTGCGTCACGAGAAGAGAGAACCACCCAGTGGCAGTGAACATACACGCATGCACGCGGCACATGGAAGCCGACCAAATGTTGATGTTATGAATCTGGGATCTCATGGGCACCTCTCTGTCAGGATACCTCGAGTAGAACATCATACATTTTGCATGCGCACAGCACAGAATTATGCGATTTCAGAAAATGACATGCTTGCGACAACTATCCTTACATCCACAAACACAACGGGCACACTCTCCCGGGACGACTTAGATCAACCCGGGACGACTTACAGCACTTACCCTGTAAAGAAAGATGAGAAGGGAGGACCATTGCTTTGACGCAGCCCTGCCCGGAACTATTTCCGGCGATGTCGATCCAGGTTGGCAGGGCCTACCCATTACGCTGATGGTATGTATAGATTGGTGGTAAGGGCAGCCCATTTCAATGGTGTCAATGGTGTGTCAACCTGGCCTGCAAGGGAGCGGCAGCGCTCTCCAGTTGCCAGGAAGTCAGGTGCCAGCGGCGGGCGCGGGCGCCAGCGCGGCAGGGCTTCCATGGCCATCCCTCGCTCTGCGCATCTGACGGCCTGAGCTGGCCTTCCCAACCGCAATGCTGGCTCCGTTTTAGCAAGACATCCTCGCACATTGCCCTCACAAATTCTGGTGTCAAGTTGGAAATTGCGCCCAAAAGTAACTTGGAGAACTCCTCCAAATATCGACGTGAAAGGAACCGGCAGTTGGCTTCCGGCCGTCTCTCGCGCATCCGATCCTTCTGTCATGAGGGCTGAAGAGTTCGAACCGTCATGTTCCCTCATGGACAAAACGGCCCGGTCTCCTGATTCTTTCGTGCATTGGTCACCCCCTTGTCTCAAGACTGTAGGGAAACCGAGCCTCAGTTCACTCTTCCGATTCACAATGCATACATTTTGTTGTTTAAAATATGATATCAAAACGCAGCCATCAGCCTCTATTTAGCCATGCAACATTCAGATCAACACCGTTTGTTTGACCAAACCTGAGTCGGCCTCAACACGGAGCGCTTTTGAAGCAAAGCGCGCTCGGCGCGAAATCCTCACTCAGACCGCCTGGCCACTTCCCGGGAGATGCAATTCTCACACTTTCTATTTATATACGAATGTGTAGGTACCACCGAGTATCCCCCTAAATATGGGTATATCCCCCTTCTACATGTGCCACGATCACACCTCGTGGTCATGGCTCCCTTGAGAGGAACCTTAAAACTGTTTGTCTCAAACACCATCAAGAAACAAATGACGATCTCTACCCACCCCACGTAAACGGCTTTTTGACCATGGCACCTACCCAGGGCGCCTGGAGCAAGGGCTCACTATAGCTGGTCTTGCGCCGCGCTGTCGCCTAAGTCCAACGAGGGCGGCGGCTTTCCCTTCCGTGGAAGTTCCGTCCCCCGTTTGGAGTTGTTTTGGATGGACATCAAGGGGGTTGGGGGGGTAGAATTGGTTGTGATTTGCGTTCAAGGGAAGCTGAAAGGGAACCACCTTTCTTGTTTCCGGCAAAGTCTCTTCCTTCCAAACCCAAGAAGCGCAGGTGGTATCTTGCCATATATGCAATGAACCGCTCACAGGACGAACTTGCCCCGGCTTACCTGTACTGCCAGACATGTATCAGAATATCACTAACCAACTGCAATACCTTCTTCTCCACGGCTTCAGATCCTTTTTCAAATGTCTCACATCCCTACCAAGTGAAACCCCACCCGTCTCGGGCCGATGGATGGGCTCCCCAGCGATGCCCATGAGGGCAGCAACCTCGGATGCGCGCCGAGGGATACCCTCTCCCCGAACACGGAACCCGCTGCGGTTAGGAATATGGCCATGGGCTTTTCAACCAAATCGGGCCGGTGAACATCCGATTCAATCCAAACACCAAAATAGGAAGCCTAAAATGGGTGGTGAATTCACCTACCAACCAAAATGGGATCCAAAACGGTTTTGACCCACCTCCTTGTGAGGTTCCATGTTTGTGGATGAGAGGGTAACTCAATCTCAATTTCAAGACCAATGGCTCGGCCTCGACTAGCGGCAAGCCCAAGCTTGGAAACGGTTCCGCGGCCAGGGAAGCTTTCCAGGCAACTTGTACATTGAATGCGCGAATCATGCCCCAATCTTCTGCCAAATCAAATACTGCGCAGCCGCCTTTTTCACGACTCAGTCACAGCCAAATGTATCTGACATTAGCAAAATGATGCTCAAAGGATACTTGATCTTGCCCTGAGCGCCGACACCTCTGCCAGCTCTCAGGGCTTATTGGCCAAACGCCGCTCAGAGGCTCGGAGGCTCAGCAGCAGCCGGAGCTCTTCTTCTTCTTGCTCTTCTTGGACTTGGACGATGCTTTCCCGCTGGAGCCGAGCTTCATGGCGCTTGAGCCCACTGCCGCCGCCGCATCGCCGGCAGAGATCACGAAGCTCTCGCGGGCCTTGTCCGACATGGTGTGGTTCGACTGGGGAGCCGAGTGGCCCTCGGGGTGAGAGGTCACCATGAATCCCGGGGGCAGCGGTTCTCCTGGGCATGCCGACCCCTTGCTTTGCTTGAACCACCTTTAAGACTTTTAGCATTGGAAGCCGTTTACAGGGGGCCCAACCACCTTTGAGACTTTACTACAATCGACATCCTTTGGGTTTGCGTTCAGAGGGGGCCCAGGGTCTGGTTCAAGGGTTTCGAACCCCGAGGCGCTCCTGGGGCAAACCACTTGCCCTGCGAATGGTCCAGGCCAGCCGGCATGGGCATGCCCTGTGGCATGTAGCCGCCCCCGTAGCCCCCATAGGTCACTGGGGCCATGCCTGGGTCCGCGGGGTACTGGTACTGGTAGGCCATGCCCGCAGAACTGCGCAACTCAGCGGAAAGGATCTTGCTTGAGCTGCTGCGACATACGAATGCCATGGTGATTGGCGGAAAGCGAGTCACCTGACTCCTGCTAGGCATCACAAGGCATGCGTTTATCTCTGGCAGAATCCACTCTTTGCCATCACCAGCCGTGCGCTTTGCAATGATACACGTCCTCTTAAGTATCCAAGAACATGCATGAGCAGGTTGGCACGCTTGACAACATTCCTCAGCATGCACGAACTAATCATAAATGCGCTCATGCCGTGCGTATACATCTGCCGTGCCATTTCTCCGAACGAGTATTACATGTCTTGGTATATTCGTCTGGCGACGTCTGCTTTGGGGCCACCGACCGAGAGAAGTCCAGCAAACGCCCATCCCATGGGCGCTGAATCTGCTCCTGGCAAGTGGCATGTCATATGCTGGCCATTGACCTGCCGCTTATGTTGTTGCTGTTAATGATAACGAAATCTAGATGAGGTTCTTTGAAATCTAGATGAGGATCGAAATTGGCTCTCAACTGTTGCTGTGAAAATCGCGCAAGCCTTATACATCGCTTTGCCGTGGAAGTTGGGCTTCCACAAAGCTTTTGGCTCGCAGCGTTCCGAGGTCATGTGGCTCTGGGTCAAAAATGGGTATCCAGTTTGGAACCCTAGTAAATGGACCCAAGGACTAAAACCTGCGGTCCCCTGGTGCTTTAATTTTGACCCATACCCATGTTGCCGTAGAGGAATCTCTTCGAATAGGCCAATTTGAAACCAACACTAAACTAGCGAGTTTCCCCCATTTTCCGAAGTTCCCCTCCGACCCCATTTCCAGTTAGAGTGGTATTAGGGGGCCCTTTAGAACCATACAAGACTGGTACTAAAACAATGCTGCACCGGTACTTAACCAATGCGACACCAATACTCAACTTACACCACCCTCCCTCCCAAAAAAATAAATTCACAACAAAACAAGCAAACAAACAAACAAACAAACAAACAAACAACAACAGTGTTCTGCTGATGAAATTCCTTGCTCGGAAATTGACATGTAAAACGATCTTGGGGCCCGAGGGCCATTCTATTAGGGGGAAAGGATTCATCAGATGCAAGTAACAACTTGTCTCAAACGGATGAATCCTCAAATGGACAGTGTCCCTTTGTTTGCCCGTTCAAACAAACAAAGAACCCTCAAAACCAGGCATCCAGAACTAAGGCGCCTAGGACCAGCTGCTCGGACGCCAGTGTCGAGTAGCTAGACCGGCCTTACACGGGCACGGGCGAGAGAAAACCTGAAACAACACGACACAAGTAACGAGGGGCCTACCCAAAACCGATACCCTGGCAACGTTGTCCGTTGCTCGCGTCAAAAGAACTGTCAATGCCTGCGCACCCTTTTCTTGAGAGCATTTGAAGCCGTTTGGCAAGTGCCTAAGCTATCTTCTAATTCACCCGGCCAATGTCTGTGCAGACTCATGCAGAAGCGCTACACAACGCACTATTGGCATGTGTAGCGCCGGAACAGGATTTGCATGCAAGTGAAATAGCCCTGGGGCATTTCCTAAAACACGTGCCGGGCAAGCTCCATCTCCGGCATCATTGGCCAAGCTCGGTGAGCCTCATTTGCGACAGAGAGATGATCAAGCCCTGCGCGTTGCAAGCATAGGTGTCCTTTTCGGGGAAATAGATGGCCCTGGTAGATGGTTAAACCACCAGGTAAAACAGGGCAATCGATTTTTCTAGCAAAACAACACCTATGGTTGCAAGTAGGTCCCTCAGCCATGCCTAACTGAAAGCAGTTTGTGCAAGCCAAGACACTTCTCCTCAGGTGGGTGGCTCTGTTCATCCTTGCCGTGGCCACCCCCCACGTTGAAGTCGGTGTTGAAGATACTTTTCGTCGGCTCAATGCACTCCTTCGAAGCACAGTCCCGTGGCCCTGCCAAATCTGTTTAATTTATTCATAGCTTGATTACGCCTCCCTCCATCTTGATAGAAAGTATACTGCCAATTTCGGCTGTGCGGCAATCAGGCTCTTTGTCTTGCAGCAAGTCTCAGCACCTTGCCAGGTGCTGCTCACCACACACACACACACAAAGAGCACGAGCATCCATGATGATAAGAACTCCTGGACATCGACTGCATTGCAAGATGGTGACGGCCTGGATGGCCGCAGCATCTAAGGTCCAAACTAGTGCGGTGCGGGTACTGTCCGTTGGTTAAGAGGTCACACTTCTTGAAGCCTTAGTCGTACACCCTACAGTGGATGGACACAATCCTGCACCAATTGAAACCCTGTGAGTACTGGATAAACCAGGCAGGAGTTTGTCCATCCATAGGCTGGAAACCAAAGGCACACACACAGGAACGGTTCCCAGAACCTTCTCAGCAAAGGGCTCTGGCAAACCTTTCTGAGAGGTCCAATGTCTGTACTGAAACAGCGGTCGCGAAGCCTTCGACAACTCAGAGATTGGGCCAAAGTCAAACTCCTTATGCAGGCCACAACTATCTTTCCATCCGTACCCCAAGAGGTCTTTTGATGGCACAGGTCTTACTAAGGTGCGGCTCAGCAGCATTTGCCCAAATGGAACTCCTCGTTCAGCAGGCAAGTCCCAGGCTTATGGGGGCAGCCATTTCCCGCCTCATCGCCAGAAACATCGTAGCCTTGGCTTTCCATCGCTGGGAATAGAGTGATGCTCTACGAAGGAGTGCCCAAGAGACATTGGGTGTTGACAGGGGTAAGCAGTCTTTCTGGGAAGTCCCCTTGCTCAAAACCTTCCAGCGCTGGTCTATGTCATTGCATCACTCATCACTTGCTTTGAGAATCAAAAAAGTAAACGAGTCAATTTCGAGCCATCCCTTCTCTTGTGATGCTATCTCGCGCAATCCCTCGATCTCGCGCGTGCATCTGAGACTCCCTTGCAGGGCATGAGCGTGCCAACCTGCACCAGGTGCTCAATAGAGCAGCTGCTTGCTGCATGCTGCTGCTGCCACCAATACTAATCAGGGCTCCCTGTATTTCCGCTCAACACATCACCCCCCATGAAGGGAAGCTCACAAATGGCAAAAAACAAATGATGCTTAAAACCACCAAACAGGGAAACCAAGGGACCCCTGCTAATTGTGACCCTAAACGACATCTCTCTCTGCTGAGCCACCATGCACCCCCGGTAATATTGATAAGCATGCCCCATATTACTCGTGTACAACAATCACGATGAATATTCACGCTCAGGTCATCTTCATCCACAACTCTGTCAAACATGAAAATACTAAAACAATTCTGCGAAGGGCAAAGTTGTGTTTATGGAGTTTTAGACGGGTGTGCCCTCAACTCCTTTCTAGACACATCGCATGCCTGCGTCGCAGTGTGTGAGCATGCCACGTATGTGTTGTGTGTTTATCACACTGACAACTAATTAAGCGCGCAATTGAATTTGAGCATGTGTGTGTGTCTTTGCATCTGCATGCACATCTGTACGTGCGTGGGTGTGCTTACGTGCATGCGCATGCATGCCGATGAATATAAATATAAATATGAATGCTGACCTGTGTGCGTGTGTGTCCGCATCAGAAGGCGTATGTGCATCTTTGTGCATACGCAAATGCGCATGTGCATAGGTCTGTATTAGTCTGTATGAGCTCGAAAAGGGAAATAAAGCGCATGGGCTCACAAATTCAGACACACGCATACACACACACACATACACTCACTGGCTAAAGTTGCTAAGTTGACACTGCCCCTGCAAACATAATCATGTACGTGCAAAGAACTAAGATGCATGAATTTACCTAGCATGCACCACTTCGACAGCTAGGCTGACCCAGGCGGCAAATACCAGCAGACGCAAACATACACACACACACACACACAAATGCAAGGACACGCCCATGCACGCCCGACACGCAAACCCAGGTTAGCCATACTCAACCCAAATGGCTTGCGCGCACATGCACACAAACACTTGCAAACCCACACACAACATTGCTCTGTCCATTTTGGGGGCTGGTTGCCGACATGAAACTGGGTTTGGGTCTCTTACTTGGTCATGGGTCAAGATCTCGTACCCCCAGTGAACATCCCAATCCCCACTAAAATAGGTTCTAAAATGGGTGGTGAATTCACCTACCAACCAAAATGGGATCCAAAACGGTTTTGACAACCACAGCCAAGTCTCTTCTTTCGCCGTGGGATGCCCGCCTTGGGCTGGAAGAAGTCCGAGAAGCCTTGGGACTTTGCGCAGGAGAAGGCGCTCAGGCGCACCGGCGCCTCAGCCAATCAAAACCCCCCTCACCTTCCTTGAAGCGGAACTGAAAGAAGGCATTTTGTTGACATACGCGGCGCTTGTTGTTTTGTTGTGTGTTGTTGTGTGTTGTTGTGTGTTGTTGTGTGTGTTGTTGTGTGTTGTTGTGTGTGGTGTGTGTTGTTGTGTTTTGTTTTGCTTTGTTTTGTTGGGTTGTTGTTTTGTGTTGTGTTGTTTTGTTTTGTTATGTTGGTTTGTGTTGTCTTGGTTTTGTTGCTGTCAACTTGTGTTGCTCTCGCTTTGTTTTTGGAATGTTGTATTGTTCTGTGTTGTTCTGTGTTGTCCTGTGCTGTTCTGTGCTGTTCTGTGTTGTGTTGTGCTGTGCTGTGTTGTGCTTGTTTTTGTGTATGTTGTTGCTGTTGTTCGGTTGACGTTGTTTGTTTGTCGTGCTTGCTTGGTTTTGATCGATTGATTGTTTGATTGTTTGTTCGTTTGTTGTTTGGTTTGTTTGTTTGTCTGTTTGTATTTTGTGTGTCTGGTGGGGGGGTGTTTGGTTGTTTGGCTGTTTGTTTGCTTGCTTGGGGGTCTGTCGGTTTGTTTGTCTGCCTGCCTGCCTGTCTGTCTGTCTTCGTCTGTTTCTCTGTCTGCCTGGCTGTCCGCTTGCTTGAGTTCTTGCTTGCCTGCTTGCTTATTTGTTTGTGCTTGTGCTTTGGCTTGCTTGCTTGGGCCTTGAGCCAATCTCGGTTGTTGCAAGGGATGGCAAACAAGCTCCTATGTGCACTGACTTCTTGGCTGCTCTTGGAGCTCTGTAAACTCCTGCGAGATAAAGTATTTTGACTCAGAAACAACCTTTCCCTGAGTGAAATGGGGGCCAGCCTTCAGCCTGATTCTCGGGCAGGCGACTGACTGGTGCTTTTGTCAGCATCGGACCGAATGGCATGATATAGTTTAGGACGTCTGCCTTTCTACCATGTCCCAAGGAGGACAAACCAAGCACAAGCTGCAATTGTAAAGGGGTCAAGCTTGCAGCTCTTCAGTGTCATTTCGCCTGTTAGAGCCAGGGACAGGCTCGGAAGTGGCAGGTACCTAAAAGCTATCCAAAGTGGATAAGCAAAAACCATACGACGTAAAACACAAGCAACAAACACAAAACAACACAAACAAACTCAACAGAGCAACAAAAAAGAACCACAAAAAAGCAACAACACAATGCAAACCAAACAACCAACATTGACACGGCAATCAAACAAATCACACAACAAACATCTTCCGATGGACGCTTTATTTGGAAACCATGATCTAGATTGCAGACCGTCTTGAGACTTTCCATCAGCCACTTGGAGCCTTCAAGGCGCCTTGCCGTTGGTCAGCAGGGAGCACTTCTTGTAGCAAAGGTACCCAAACAGCTCCTGCAAACAGTCTCGAGGTCTACAGACTCCACGTGCGCGGACCCATCGACGAAAAAATCACTAGCTGAAACACAGAGGGAATTAATGAAGTGGCGGCGGAAAAATGGTCTTTTGTGGGATATCTAAAGCGGATTTTCTGGGGAATCACAAGAAGATGGCCCCGCCCCACACCCAAACATTCTCACAAGCATGCCCGGAAGCAAGGGCCTGAGCACGAGGTACTCTCAGAGGCTTGGCACGTCATTCAGATGCGTTCAGCAGAATAATCAACCGGAAAATGTGGGCCGTGTTTCAATGCAACGTGAGGGATTCCCTCTAAACTTGGACTGATTGACCAGACTAAAAATAAGTCCTGGGTTGCCATTACATGGACCGTTTGATCACAAGAAGGGCCTTTCCCGTGCAAGTCTCCTCATCGTGGGAGCACAGGTTGCCATCCTTCAGATTTTCTGGTCGAGCAAGCGGGTCATTCGAGAAGATCTTCACGTCCTGCAAGGATGTGATGTTCGCAGCTTTTTGCGCGCACGAGGTGATAAAACTCGGGATCCTTGTGCATCCAAACTCTGAACAAATCAAGACTGATAAACAAAGAAGAAAAACAAACACGCAGCAATT